TAAGCAGAACCAAGAATAAATCTGACATGGCATAACTTGTGTCCTTTATAATCAAGGAGAATGTGTAACCCTGTGGCCAGATTTGTGACAGAAAGACATGGCTGTTGTTTTTTATCTGGAGGAATCTACAGAATCAGAATTTCTAGTGTCATCCTCTGTGGTATGATATGATTGCAGTTTTCCTGCCCCACCTCTCCTTGCTCTCATGTCCAGATCCATTGTTTGATGATTAAAAACAGTAACATCAAAACGGGGTTAGGTATCATTGGAAAGCCACTTTCTTTCATGAGCATAATGCAGACAGAGATGAAGGTGGTGGGGACTGCTACAGTTAACAGTAGATTGGGAAAGCTATCTTTTTAGTGTTTAGCTGGTGTTCAGATAGGATGGAAAAATGCATGAGTCAAGGAAAGAAAGTTCTTGCACATCTTTGCAAGGAAATACCCACTAACAATGAGCGTGGTATGGTATGCAACCAGCAAAAACTATGCTCCATAGCAGTTATAAGTGGTATATAAGGCTATGGTGCAAGCTCTTGACAAATCAGAAAGTATTCATGACAGAATTCCTAACTCAAGATATATCTTTATGGTCACAGTTAAGAAGCTACTGCCCAGTATACTCACAGAGGGTGAGCTAATGGCATGCCTTGCAGAGAAAGTGTTCCAGCATGAGTACTGCTAGTTAGTGTTCCAGCATGAGTACTGCTAGTTAGTGCAAAGAAGCCACTACCCTGGACCATTAAGCTGAACTGCTTTATAGTTCTCTTGAAGAGACAGGTACTAGTTATCTTGAATGTCTTTAGTGTCACAGAGACAAGAGCCACTCAATTCCAATTTTTCACAAGACACAGATGTTTTAGTGCTTCCTGAGCAGTTCTATCCAATGCTACCATAAAATCGATTTTATGCCTGCTGCTGGTGATATATACCTTTTACCAATAAAATTACTGCCAGATTTCTGTGATCTTTCAGGGTATGATAAAAGGCTAGATGGAATAACTAAGTTATCTCATTGGAAACCATCTGATGCTGCATCTGAGAAAAGTCTTTTTGCTCTGAAGGTGGAAGGAACAGCTGAAAGTGCCATCTATAAATGCACCAGAGACATTCATTCATACACTATTTGAAGATCAAAATCATTATATGCGTGACACTTTGTTGACAGAAGATTTAAAAGAAGTAAACAGTGTGGAAAGACTGATCCTAACAAAGGGTACACTATACGTCTGCAAACAGAACTTCTTAGGATTGCTTCCTATTTGTGATCAAGTCCCAGGTTTGGAAGACACATGATAATTACATAGCAATTTTTATTTATTTATTTATTTTTATTTATTTTATTGCATTTATACCCCGCCCTTCCCGCGAACGGGTTCAGGGCGGCTTGCTGAATCTTGCTGAAGCTAAATGAGTCTGGCCACCACCTGGTAGCTATATGTATGTATGTATTTATTTCAATTTGTATCCCGCCCTCCCCTACTATCTTGAGTTCTATGCTGGAATAATGTGAGATATAAATCTAATTAAAAACTTTTTATTTTACTGCCATGCAGTGAAATTACTTCGTAATGGGAGGGGACTTCCACAATTGCCTTTCTTCAGATGTGGGTGGTTTGGAGGGAACAGATGGATTAAACCAATTCTGCGCAAAATTCCACATGCTCCCCAGTCAACCCTAACTAGTGGGATATCCTTATGCACAGGTGAACAGTTGCAGTGCAGATAAAAATCACTGTGACATGTCTTGTAAGACGATTTTAACACTTCGTACTTCCATTGAATTAGAAAGCATCCGTATTATTGTATATAAAGACCAATTAATGTATGTGTGCCAGTCCTTACATAACATATATGCTACTGCACACAGAAGCCTTTTTAAAAGAGCACATTTCTGAAATCAGCAATTTGATGGTAAAGGGAGATTGAGAAAAACGGCCCTGCTTTCTACTGATTTAATTAATTGGTGGGGCTTCAGGTTTTTGAAAAATAATCTTTTGAATTTCTGTGGGAACTGTATTCACAGGGCCCATTTCCTTATCCAGCTACGCATGTGAATATGTAAACTTGCTTCTGCCTATTCACAGCCCCAAGTTAAATTGGGAAAATAATGTTTATTTTTGAATACTTTATTGAACATGCATCAACATAATTATTTTAGGATTCTCATGTGGAGTAACATGTTTTTGAGAGGCTTTCATGATACCTAACATCCCAGTTCTTATACTATCATATTGTCCATTGTCAAAAAACCTGAACCTGGGAAGCTGGGGGGGGGGAGGCAGAAACCCACCCACCACATCACAGCACAGTGAACAACATGTTTTATTTTGTACATTTCTTTGCATGAATTACCTCCTTAAATTTTCTACCAGCACTCGGAATGAGAGTTTGCTATTAGAACTCAATAAGGCATGGTCACAACAAATATACTAATTTCTAAATAGTCATTAAAAATACAAGCTCCATTTGAAGAACAACTTTAATCTTCCCAACTCAAAATCAAACGAACAGTTCAGAATACTAAAGGTTGGAGACCCTAATTTAAAGTGGGCATCCATGGAATGACCCCCTCCTGACTTACTGCAAGGTTTCAAATAATTCACCAGCTCCTATAAATAGAAATTTAATATTGAAATATAATACCCTGATAATTTTTATTATATCCAAAAAGATTTTCCTATGTATTAGGAAACAACTAAACTAGAACTGCGATGAGGAGCAGTTCAGCCTAAGTAAGAAAAGTCTCAAGCCACAGAGTGGCCCATTGGTTCTAATCCAGCAAGTCTGATCCATGTGCAGATCCTATGCTACAAAGGATATAGTGAGGGAGGGGGGACCTCATATCTAGCAACAGGGGCTGTGCATGTAGTACTGCTTGCTAGGTCATGCTGACAAACAGATGATTGGTGGTGTTAACTCTGACAATGCTGATCACCCGTTTAGAGGGTGGAGGTAGTGCTTTCTCTCCACCACCCTACATTATAAGGTGAGTAGTGCATCACAACTCACAGCCTTGTCCGTCTGGTCTGTGGGGAGATCGTTGCATATAAGAAACTTTGGATTAGGACCACTGTGAACATGTTTGATTAATTATGTGGCCACAGCTGGTATAAATGGGATACCGCTCATAAACTAAACTTCTATTCAGCACTGACTGCTAATGATCACCCCTTAATTACTTCAGTGTCATATCTAGCAATAAGTGCAGATGTAGTTTTACTCTGTATGCTTTCCACTCAAATTGTGAACATTAATCATGACTGTTGTGGTGCAAAGACTGGATAACAGCTACTTTGCTGATGGAAAGTATGTGTGTGTTAGCTGCCTGAATAAAATGCCCACATACCTCTTGACAACCCCAGCATCTGCCACTGCCTGCAGTGGTTTTCATTCTAGGGTTATCCAAATTTTCAGCATCAAGAGGCTGAGACATCTGCATGTAAATATTATTTTCTTCTCAAAAGTCATGTACACATTCATACACTGCAATCATAATACTCTGCTAAATCACAGTTTGTTACAGGAGTTGTAAAGGTAGTGAAGCCAAGATACTTCAGTGATAATCCCGTGGAGTAGCATTCTGTTATGTCATTACCATTGGCATACATTTCTGTTACATTTACTAGCACATTTGGAAAATCCCAGCTCCCAGTACCAAAGGCTGATTGCCTTTCCTCAGTGTGTTTCATTTTTTTATGAAGATTTTTTTAACAAAAAAAATATTCAGAAATCTGGTTGAACGAATAAGAGGTTGCTAACAATATTCTGTATGTGTAAGCAGACCTAAACATCACTTAGAATTATTGTTCCCATCAACCTAATCTATTCTTCGCAATGATATTACTAAAGTGTTCTTTTTCTTGTAATCATTGGAGATTCATTAGCCTGAATGCATTTTCAATGAAGCTACTCGATTCCTATTACTACATTCACCTTGAGTGAAGAGTGCACAAATCCTCTGAATACACAGCTTTGGGATTTTCTTTTGACCATAATGTAATGTTTCAGCTACAGAAACCCAATTCAAAGTATAAGGTACACTTTCAGAGTTGTTAAAATTTCACATGGGAGAAAAAGTGCATTATTTTGTTCAGCTTGTACAGTCCTTCCATAAACAAAATAATTGTTAAAAGCCTCTTTTAAGATGTAGCAGCAAACATGACACATACAATCGTTGTCACTAAGAAATAAATACTACTGCAGTGTAACAAAAATATTCAGTTAAATACCTGAAGAAAAAAAGCTAATTCACAAACTCAAAATAATAATAATTAAAAAAAAATGAAAAGGCAAACTCCTGTTTACCTTGGTGTACAAATTTTGGTGAAAAGCGCTGTTGTTATGCCTGTCTACATTCTTCGGCCACAAGAGGTGATGTTCATCAACAAAGAAAAAGAAAAGCATGAGAGAGATGTTACTGGATGCAAATTATAAGACCTTTAACTGCTGCCTTTTCCCCTTAACTGCTTGCATTTTGAAAGTTCCGTTCTTCATAACTGCACATGAATCTGGAAGTCTAAGTGGGAGGCTAGGTGATCCCAGCCCTTCTGCTTCTTGTGTAGTATCCAACAGTAATTAAAAAATAATATATATATATTTATATATATTTATATATATTAACAGTTATAAGTCCTTCTCTTGAATGCTTTCATCCAGATGTTAATGGCAAGTCTAATTCAAGTGATGATATGCCTAGCAAAAGCGTTGCAGCACCATCTTCTACATATCCCAGTTCTGTCCAGCTCAAACAGATGTGAGAAAACATCATAAACTATGTTGTTTTTTACTATAATTTTGATTTGTCTTGTAAAAGAAGTGAGAAGTACTTCTCAGACCGGCATGTCCTTAAGCCTCTCCTCTGAAGAGACAAGAGAAAGATAACCAGCTGTGCACAAAATGCACCATTGAGAATTTGTCATCTAACGTCACAACATTTTTGGATTGCTTCTTGCTGTTACTCTCATGCTGAGAGAGTGGACAGCATCAACAGCAGGGGATCTTAGACCAATATAAAATGTCATGCAGATAAATCAAAGAGGTCGATTGGGCAGAAAGGGAATTGGTTCAACTTGGAATGATCTCTGAAAGTACTTTGCTATCCTAGATAATAGCAAGTACTGGTGATGATGTTCAGTACTCATTTTCAGTGATAAACCTAATATGACTGTGAATCAGCAGAACAAAACAACAAGCTACTCCCGTCCGCTTGCAGAATAGGAAAACTGAGGAAAATGTGGTCGTCTTTCATTGTCCATGCAGTCCATACCATCTTCATCATCTGTGGAAGTGAAGTTTGAAGGTAGTCTCAGAAAAAAAGATTTTCTCATTGTACATTCCATAACATTATAATAGAGTATATTTTTGAGAAGTGCAGCATATATTTTAGTGTTGCTATAAATACAGCAAAAAAAGAGAGAGACCACTATTTTAATGGAAGTGGGCATGCAGAACAGGATCTTAATATTCCTTCAAACACAGCAATTACAGACCAATACTGGAAGCTATGGGAAGATGATGTTTTTCTCTCATTAGGTTAAACAAATTATGATGTTCAGAAACAATGCAAGAATTCAACCCTATGTTGTTTGCTTCACTGGCATACGTGAGCCCACATCTAAGCGCACAAGGGCCAAGGGGGCTTGAAACAGGAATCAGCAGCCTCAAGCATCCAGTATGCATGGCTGACATGTTGTTGAATTGTATCCTCAAAGGTGTTTTTCTATACATTTCAAATTTGGAATGCTACTGAAATTCATAAAACAGCTTATTTTGAAGAAATGCTTAATGTGAAAATTCAGTATTAGTGACAATTAACACCTTTTAGAGTGATGCTGTAAAGCTGAAGACTAGTTTAGCAACTATTTATTGGACCTTTATGCAGAGTGGTCTAAACTGTAAAATTTAACATACAACATGAACATTAAGGAATCCTACCAAAATTGTTCGGTGACATGCTAATACACACCTTATAAGGGAACAGGTGCTCTAGTTTTGGCTTTGATTCAGCAAAATGCCTAGCAAATGCCTTGCTTCAAACAGATATTTACAGTCAGGTATGTTAAATACTTTGCGGAACTGAGGGTGTATTGTTCATCCCAAGTAAGTCTTTGTAATTTTCCCCATTCATTTTTATTAGATTTAGGACTATTAGTAAGGAATGAAAAAAGTTTACAGAATCTCACCTCATTTTCTAAAGTGCTCTTAATCCTAATCAAGATAGGTCTTCTGAAAGTCTTCTGCTACAAGAAGGTCATTTAGAGACACTCACAAACCACACATCTCAAAGGTGTGATATTATTCCTGGCTGTAACCAGCCAGGTATATCACAATTTGTAATAATAAAACTCTCACTTGCACTGAGGCCCCTGTACCGCAGTAGTTAAACACAGCTATTTGAATTACAGTACTTACATTTTTCAGGCGGCGTTATTGTAATAGTCTGAGCAGTGAACTCTTCATCAAAATATCTGGTGTCTGTCTCAGATGTCACTTGAGGTTTAAAGGGAGGGACAAGCTGAAGAAGTAAGGAGGGAAAAAACACATTAATAAATGTGAACACAACCAAACTATGTGAAGTTCTTGAGACCCATACTTGAATAAATAGTTGGCACCGAAAGGGTCAGAAAGTGAAAGCCTGGTTAGTAGCTATTGAGTAAAAGATTAGGCCATCAGAAAGCAAAATGTCAACAATAGTGTAGGAGCAAGTGGTAAGAAATTTAGGTTCTGTGGGAAATTTGTGATATAATATTGGGGTATGATTTTTCTTGAAGATCCTAAGTAGTACTGGAACTGAACTTCTTGTGTTGACAGGCCCACAAATGCTGCAGATTTTTAAAAATTAATACCTCATATAAACATTAAAGAGCATTAAATGTCCCTCAGTCTGAGCAGTGCATGGCTGCTGCACGACATTCATAATGGTGTTACAGACAACCCACTGGACAAAGATCGTAAGGTATTTTGATTCCTCTCTTGTAGTTTCTCCACTAATATAAAGGTCTCTGTGCATGCATGCACACGCACTTGAATTGGAGCAGTTTTGGCAACAGGAATGTTGGACTTATTTATCATAAGATTGTATGTCTTCGAGGAATCTGGAATGACAACTGATGGTGGTCTACAAAATGTATAGGAAGGGTGTCAAACAGTAATGGATGTAATTCCCTATCCAACAGATTCTCAGCTACCACACTTGTAGTTTCACCCTCCCCAAATCATGCTCTTCACCCCTCCCCCTTATAATGCTCCACAGGACTTGCCCCTGATACTGCTGGATATATCTTGTTCTTCCCTCTCTCATGCTATCAGTGTTTCCAAACACCCCCCCTCAAACAGCACACAAGAGAGGAGGGAAGTGGAAAGAGAAAGAAAGAGGGGAAAGAAAGCAGAAGGAACAGGGTGTGGGTGAGGAGAAGGAAAAAGGAATGTGATATGGAACGGGGGAGGGAATAAGGTAAGAAAGAAAGTGGCACACAACGTCATTCCTTCAGGATTAGTGTGGCACAGATTTGGTGCCACCATCACTTATTTCACCAACGTGAGACACAATGCCTGTGAAGAGATGAGAAAGGAACAGTACCACATCCGCCACTGAGCTAATGTGGTACCATTTTATAAATGGGTACACTTGCTCTGGGTAGGGATTTCCTCATGGGCCATGAGTAAGGAAAATGGCCCATTCGGCCACCTTTTGGGCAGCTGCAGGCCGAATCATCAGATTCTCTAAACTGATTCGGCCTGCAGGCGAAAGCCACCGCTGAAATTTGGCAGCATTTTGGCCGCTGCCCAAAAAGCGGCCCCAGCCCCAGGGAAAGCATGAGGAGGCATTTAAATGCCTCCCTGCCCCCTCTCAGGCCCTTCCTGGATCGCCCGCGGGTGATCCAGGAAGGGGCAGGGGGGCTCTGGAAGCCTTCTCCTGGTCTCCCGCTTCGGTGGGCGGGCAGGAGAAGCTACAGGAGCAGGGGGCAGGAGAAATGCCTCCCCGCTCCCTCCTGGGCCCTTCCTGGATCACCCGCCTTGGTGGGTGGGCCAGGAGAGGTGGGGGGCTCTGGAAGCCTTCCCCAGCTCACCAGTTTCAGCAGGCGGGCCAGGGAGGGCAGCAGGGTCCCTTCAATGAAGGAAGCATGCCGCCTCTGCGGCGCAACGGGGGGATTTCATCTTTAAACTTCTAGTCGCGCCGCAGAGGCAGCAAGCTCCCTTCATTGCGGGGAGCCTGGGGAAGCCCCCCCTTGGAGGGAAGGCAGTTTAAACTGCCTTCCCTTGGCTTGCCCGGGCGCCCCTGGCCGAATCTAATTCAGCTGGCCGAATCGGGCCGAATTTTTTTTTTTTGCACACCCCTAGGCATGAGTACCTTAGGAAGGCTGGATGCAGCCTGAAGACTATATGTTTGATATCTGTGATATAAAGAATGCTCATATAAACATATTTAGATGCCCAAGGGCTTTCGTGTTTATTGTTTGAATCGAACAACTACTATGTCAGTACCTGTGGCCTCTGCTGCCACCAAGAAAGGAGCTGTGTTCTGTGGTAAAGTGATGTCTCCCTACACAGACTGAACTGCTGCTGAGAATGTGCCAGCACCCATCTCCTGGGGGTGCAGGTAGTCTGCAATGACCCAAAACAGGCACAATAGCAACAGTTGTGATATAGAGGACTAGGGAAATTTTTTTACTGAGAAACAGCTATCTCCAAATTTTTATTTTATACCACTAATTTATTCTGCTGTTTAATAGATGCTCTAAATTACCTTAAAGGTAATATATGGTAAAAACGGTAATATATAGTAAAAAAGAGAGAGAGAGACACAGGGAGGGGAAAACAAACTTGACCCAATACCTGGAATCAAAAACCACAAGGGTAAGCCTGATAAAAGGGCCAATATTAAAAACCTAGTGTGTACATATTATATATATAAATGCATGTATTTATTAGAAAGACACTTAAAAACATATCAGGACCCAATGAAAACCTCATTACAAGGTACAAGAGACATGAACACAAGGGTCAATAGAAGTGACTTGATGCATTTCTTCAGAGGTCGCACCTAGGAATATTACTCAAATTCAAACATTACTGCCAAAATATGTTACTATGAAGTACTTTCATAGTTACACATTATGCCAATTAGTTAATTTGAAGCACATTTCTGCTGCAAACACACGGTTATACAATGGCCAATTCCATTTGAGACAAAAATGAATTTTAAGACATAGTAAAAGTAGAACACCATATGGATCATCACAACTACAAGTAGAATTTTAAAAACAAAACAGTAAACCATACTTAACTATTTATTAATACCAAAATCAACAACTCAAAACAATACAGCGCCATCTATCTCTTTGACGTTTAGGTCTGAACACCACAGAATTTTGTATTTTCTCAGAACTGTTTGTGTTATCCTAAGTAATAAGCTGCTCAGTTATCATAAGAACATAAGAGAAGCCAATGTTGGATCAGGCCAATGACCCATCTAGTCTAACACTCTGTCACACAGTGGTCAAAAATACCAGGTGCCATCAGGAGGTCCATCAGTGGGGCCAGGACAGTAGACGCTCCCCCACTGTTGCCCCCCCAAGCACCAAGGATACAGAGCATCACTTGCCCTAGAGTTCCTATCTATAACTTATGGCTAATAGCCACTGATGGATCTCTGCTCCATATGTTTATCTAATTCCCTCTTGAAACTGTCCATGCTTGCAGCAGCCGCCACCTCTTGTGGCAGTAAATTCCATTTGTTAATCACTCTTTGGGTAAAGAAATACTTCCTTTTATCTGTTCTAATCTGACTGCTTAGCAATTTCATTGAGTGCCCAAGAGTTCTTGTATTGTGAGAAAGGGAGAAAAGGACTTCTTTCTCAACCTGCTCTATCCCATGCATAATCTTATAAACCTCAATCATGTAAGCCCTCAACCATCGTTTCTCCAAGCTAAAGAGCCCCAAGCGCTTTAACCTTTCTTCATAGGGAAAGTTTTCCAACCCTTTTATCATTCTACTTGTCCTTTTCTGCACTTTTTCCAATGCTATAATATCCTTTTTGAGGTATGGTGAACAGAACTGTACACAGTACTCCAAATGAGGTCGCACCATAAGCTTGAACTATAAGAATGTGTGCAGATCTTAATAGATCATCCTTTATTATTAGAAAAAGATATACAAGGACAATGATTTAGATTAATTCAATTCACTAAACACATTCCGCTGAGAGAAGGCGGCTTCCGGTTTTGGCGGGCTGATGGCAGCCATCTCTCCCGGCTCCCGGGGACACGGACTGCAAACCAGCGGGTAGAGAGGGAGTGCGATCATATGCACTGTCCCAGGGCCTGTGGGATGGGTCCTGAGTCAGGGGGCACTGAGGTTAGCCACCCCCCAGCTTGTTGCCTGGGGGTGGGGGCGTCCTTTTGCCCTGATGGTCTCTCCACTGTGTTCCAGTATTGGACTAAGCTACGCACACCAGATCAAGCGAGCGGTGATCAAGTTTTAATTAAGCGACGGGCAAAATCGATGAATTGACGGATGAAGAGTGAGTAAAAGTAAATTGAAGCATCAGAGGGAAGCGAAGTTCATCCTTGCAAGCTGGGGGGGGGAGAGGTAGCCGCAGACACCCCCCCTCTTTTCCCAGACAATGGAATTAATTACTATTGGATAAACGGAACTTGAAAGAACTGAGATGGAGAATCGTTGAGATTTAAGAACTGACTAACAATTAAGCAAACATTCAGGACTTTAAAAATCTTAATAGAAAATATTTATCTTCAAAACCTGTCTGGCTGGGAATGGCTAGAGTGAAACACAGCTGGTGCCTGGAAATGGCTAGGATGAATGCACTTGGAAATTTCTTCTTAAAGATTGTTACCATTCCTGAAAGGGTCAGAGTGAAGGAAAGGCCACCCCCAAAAAAAGAAGAAGAAGAAGCGGGGAGAGAAGAAGTTCGCTCCCCTTATAATAACAAAAATATAAAACTTTTAAGGGGTGGGCAGAGCGAAATGAGAGAAAGGATTGAATTGGAAAACTTACGGGAGTTGAAGCACTTATACAGGCACCGGAAATCTTCTTTGTAAAGAGACAGTAAACATCTCTATTGGGCATCGGAAGTTTTCTTTTTTTAAAGAGACTACGAACATCTTCATGGATGGCGGGAGTAGAGTGTGGCAGAATCTTCTCTCAGCAGATAGAGGGGGGGAACCCCCCTCTAAAAATAAAATAATTTTGTAAGAACTTGCAAGTACTCCCAAAAGATATTGGAAACTTTCTTTTTAAAGAGACTGTAAACATCTCCTTGAATGGCAGCTGTAGAGTGCGGCGAAATCTTTCCTTAGCAGATGGGGGCGGGGGGGAACCCCCTCTCTAAAGATAAAATAAAATAAAATAACTTTGAATCTATACAGGGAAGACGGGAAGGGGCGAAATCCCCCCCCAAAAAGCGGGGGGGGGGGAACTCTCAGAAAATTAAAAAAACTTTATTCTGGTGGAGGTGGACAGAGCTAAGAGTAGGAATGATCTGCTTTATAAGA